CAAAATTGGACTTAAAAACTGCATTCAAATCCCAAATTGCAACCCAGAAAATATGAAGTGGGCTAAAAAAAAAAGGGTCAAAAAAGCCCAATCTATTTGTTTTCGGTAGGCCAACCGCCGAGTCGGCCCGACCGCTACTTGCGGTATTACCGACAGTAAGAGAATCGATTGCAAATTGATTGGCGACAATTTCAATTTTCGTTAAACTGACTACTCTCGATCGGTCATCAGTACTGGCCTACTGATTTGATTACCAAACCGATTCCACCCCTAGGTAAAAACCTCCAATTTGGACACAAACATCTTCTAAAACGGCCTACCTAGCTCTCTACTCCCAAAATTTGAAACCTAATTAACCTAGTTGTCCCATTTCCTTCAAATTAAAAGCATAATTCACCAAAATTTTCAAAATCCCTAAAACCTCCAAGAAAGTAGGTCATATAGGTCACATGTCATTCCCGTGATTAAAATTTGCATAAAATGTGACTTAGAAACTGAATTGACAACAAGAATGAAAAAGTTGGAGGACCAAAACCATACGAAAATTAGTTAGATGACAAAAGAAAACTCATATATAAGTTCACTGAGCATTGCGATTAAAAGCCCTTCTAATGAATATTTGTAATTGATTCTTGCATTTATTAAGCATTTGCGATGAGTATAGTTTCGTATATTTCCCCTTTTTTTAACAAAATAATTTTTCCTCCTATTCCTTGTCATACAGTGGATAATTTTACCCAAAGCAAACAGAATAGGGAAAAGTGTTGACCAAAAACAAAAAATAGAATAGGGAAAAGGGCCGGGCCGGGTCGCTGGGCAGGAGATATGAAGAGAAAAACGAATATTATCCTCCCAATATGCCGTTCATACCCATCTAGGGTTTGTCCAATGATATAATAATATAAATAGGAGACGATGACGATTCAGATCGCCCTCTTCGCATATTATCTCTCACTACTTTAAGCCTTTGGCCGCCACTAAAACCCTCTTTCGAAATGGCCATTACATTCTCAGATCTCTACACCGAAGCCGGCCTCAAGTCCCTCGATGACTTCCTTGCCGGAAAATCTTACATCTCCGGGTAATTTCTTCTCTTTTCCTTGGTTTTGTTTTTGTTTTTGGTATAAATACTAAAATTGATGAATAATTCAAAACCCTACCAGAGACCAGCTTACTCTGGATGACATAAAGGTGTACGCAGCGGTGTTGGGGAAGCCCGATTCCTTTGCGAATGTGAGCAAGTGGTACGACTGCGTTTCATCCCAACTCGCTGCAAACTTCCCCGGCAAGGCAGTCGGAGTCAGAATCGGAAGCGGCAAGGCTGCTGCTCCTGCTGCTCCTGCTGCGGCCGGAGGAGATGACGACGACGACTTGGATCTCTTCGGTGATGAAACCGAGGAGGACAAGAAGGCAGAAGCAGAGAGGGAGGCAGCCAAAAAGGCATCTACCAAGAAGAAGGAGAGCGGCAAATCCTCTGTTCTTCTGGATGTCAAGCCTTGGGATGATGAAACTGACATGAAGAAGCTCGAAGAGGCTGTTCGCAGTGTAGAGATGGAGGGTCTCTTCTGGGGAGCATCAAAATTGGTTGCAGTTGGTTATGGGATCAAGAAGTTGCAGATCATGCTCACCATTGTCGATGACCTGGTCTCTGTCGATGACCTCATTGAGGAGCAGCTTACTGCTGAGCCGCGCAACGAGTATATCCAGAGCTGTGACATTGTTGCCTTCAACAAAATTTAAATCTACTGCAGTGCTCGTTGTTGATTTCATAATTGTTGATTCGACTTGGACTTGGACTTGTGGTAGGAAGGAATGAATTTTCGTGAGGAAACTTACTTTTGATCTTTATATGGTGATATATGCTTTTAATTAGTGTTTTTAGTTGTTGGCCTCTGCTATTTTGACTTGTGTATTTTTTTTTTCCAATTTCCAGTTAGTGTGTTGACTAAAATGTGAGTGCTTCTGTCAAAAAATAATTTCAATCTCTTTGTGGTTACTGCCATGGGGGGAAGCGGGAAGCCACCACCGCTCTTAGTTTACACTTTACAAGTGTTTATTTGGTTGATGGTTTACCAATGAGATCAAATTTTGAGAAAGTGGTTCTGTGTTAGGTAGCTGCATCATTTATTCTTATGGTTTATTCGTTCTTATGGATAGAGTGTTAGCATTAGGCTTTTTTCATTTACTATTTTGAAATGGTTTGGTTTTGTGTTAGGTTCTATTTGATTTTGATGAACATTGTTTTTCACTTTGAGATTGAGTAAGATTTTGAAACATGAGAAGATGCGTACAAGTTATACAATATATATTATGCATAAGAAGCTAGATATATAATAGCACCAGCCCTTGCATCCTCATTACCTTCCCTTCCTCCATTAATGTTGGTGCTTTTGCACAGCTGGTTTGGATCTCCTCCATATAACCAAACACGCGAGTCTCTTTTTTTTGAGTCGAACACACGAGTCTCTCAATAGAAAACCCACTACAAGGCACTGGATAATTAATCTTTTTTAAAGAAACCCTAACCTTAGTAGCCCGTGAGAGAGAACTTGTTATGGAGTTTTGTTTTTAACCCATTGTTCTTATGGTGCAGATTTAAAACAACATTTAATTACCCGTCTCGCACACGGCGTCTCCTTCCTCCTCCTCTTCCTCCATCTGTGTTGCTGAAATTTTTCTTTTTTTTTTTCTTTTTTTTTTCCTTCCATCTCCCTCCCATCTCCCGCACTTCTCCGTCTCCAGTCCACTACCCATGCTTCTCCCTCCACAACACTCTCTTCCCCGTTGCTTTCATCCGTGGCAATTGCATAACTTTTCATTCTGTTATTTTGTTTATAATGGTTTTGGCTGAGTTCTTCTGCATTGATGTATGACTAAATTATGGTTTTGAGTAAGGAATTGGTCCTTTTTTTTTTTCCGTGGAAAGCGGAAACAAGTTAGGAAAAAAAAATAGAACAGAAAAAAAAGGGTGGTAAAACGGCAAAACAAAAGAACCAGAGCAACAACCCAAAATGGTGGAAGAGGAAGGACTAAGAAGGAAAACACAGCAACCCAAATGCTCCCCACCAGAAACACCCGAAGCCCCGCGGTCAAAATCCAAACCCCCAACAAACTCTCCAATCCCAGAAGAAAGCAAACAACTGTGGAGAGGAGAGAAGAATGGGGAAGGACAAAGAGAAGGGAAATCAGAGGGAGAGACAGAGGAGCTACCGCAAGAAATGGGAGAAGAGAGGAGATAGAAGGAAAACAAAAGAAGGGAAGAAAAAAAAATTACTTCAGCCACACAGATGGGAGAAGAAAGAGAAGAAGGAGACGGAAAGTGTGAGAGAAGGGAGGAAGAGAGGAAGAGAGGAAGGAGACGGAGAATGTGAGACGGGTTATTACATGTTGTTTTAAATCTGCACCATAGAAATAATCAAACGGTTAAAAACGAAACTCCGTAACAAGTTCGCATTTTGATAGCCCGTAATGAAGAACCTCCAGCTTTTACATAGATGTGGACGTAACTGTTCCTATTGTTTTTTTTTTTTTTTTTTTTTGGGGGAAAGAAAGAGGTGATATGTTGCATTTATAATTCAGACCTCACAAAGGTCAATACAAGTACAACTAATCATATAAAGTTAATACATATATAGAACCACATTAATCATAAAAATGATTAATTCAAATACGGAATAGTCTACCAACAACAAGAAGCACAAAAGGTTTAAAAAAGAAAGATTGTACCATTTCACTTTAAATTGAACATTCATCACTTTTTAGTCATAGACAGTCACAACTAGGGTTTGTGCAATTGAATCGAAAAATTGACCAAACCAAATCGATCAGCTTGATTTGATTTGATTTGATATGATTTGATTTGATTTGATTTTTTAAAAGAATTTTAGTGGGAAACTAAACCGAATCGGCTTCTGATTTGTTGATCGCAAATATCCAAACCACCAATTCATCTTAATCAAACTAATGCTTTTAAAATGCTAAATATTAGCAAGCCAACCAAAACCGGTGAGCCCCTGTTTTGATTAGATTTTTATAAAATAAATTTGTAACCGAATTGGCCTCGAGTTCGCAATTCATAATTATCTGACCATCGGTTCACCGGAACCAAATTGATGCTTTTAAAATGCTAAATATTAGTAGAAGTTACAGGCATGAGGACTCAAGCCCCTCACCTCTAGCTTATAATGCCAACGCCATAACACTTTATTAAGAAGCCTAATTGTGTTATTATTGTATAAAAAAAATATTTAAGAGCTCACATCTTCTCTCTCCTCCATCTTCGTCTCATGTTTACTCTCTCTTTCTTCCTTGTTCTTTGTCTTTGGTTTCTTGTTGAAATCAACATAATTGAGCTGATTTCTCAATAAACCGACTCTTTCGATTGAAGTGATCATTGGCTTGGCGTTGATTCTCAAAAAAGGCAAATTCATGCCGTTTTTGCCATCTAAGTGTGATTCGGTTCGGTTGCCCAACCCTAGCCGCATATGCAGGAGAAGCCGCATATGTAGTGAAACAATAATAATATATGTAGGTAATTTTCATTACATTAAAATTGATAAAAGTGACAAAAGAAAATTGAACTAAGTTATGAATTTTTGTTTTCTTTTTTTGAGAAAGTGACAAGAACATTCGAGACTCAAAATTCGTGACAAAAGAAGAATCCGAGTCTCCAAACTACGAAGGAAAGGCCTCATGTTCCCGTGTTGGTTCCGCGTTGGCGTCATACCGTAGTATAATGTGCCGGAATTACTTGTCCGTGTAAGCCAACAAACTCAACTCAACTCAACTCAACTAGGTTCTAGTTCTAGAGGGGGGGTGAAGGTGGGTCCCGAAGCCGCGCAGTGCCTAGTTGTCATCTTTGTTTGAGAACTCTCCAACCCAAAAGGATGGCAAAGTCTCATACTTTTTTTCATTTTTTCTTCTTCTTATTAAATTTTCAACAAATAAAAAGACAAAAACTCGGTTATTGTTGTTTGTTTTGTTTCTGTTTGAGTGGAAATGATGACGCTTTCCCTTGAGTGAGGCCTTTGTGAATTATGGTAGTTTGTCCTTCCTCTTCAATTTCTCTTCATTTTCCTTTCCATCGTCAACAAGGTCACAACAACAAATAGGAACTGCGATGAGGAAAGAGAAAAGGAAACCACTTCTACTTCACCTCCGCTACTCCTAGCAAGTTTTCACCATCACCAACCTCCCCCCAATCCAAACATTTCTCTCTCTCTCTCTCTCTCTCTCTCTCTCTCTCTCTCTCATCTGATATCGCTTTTCCTTTTATTCCGTATAGAGAGCCAGCCAGTCCATGCTCTATATGTTCCATCCAATCCCACCACTAGCACCGACCTAGCCCCTCCTCATGGCCCATCTGGGGCTTTTCTTCTCTTTTTAAACCAACTTTCTTTTTCTTCATAATTTTCTTCCCTTTTTATTACGTTTCTTATTAGGTTTATTGGGGGTTTAATTTAATCAAATCACTGAGTGCCTCCTTATTTATTTCCTGCCAAAATTGACCATCCCCTGTTCCCTCGAATCTCCTACAAACATTCAATGGATCCCCAGTATATCTCCCACCAAATCTAGGGTTTTTGCTAGGGTTTTTCTTTTAACTATTGCCTTCCTCTCTCTATTGGGTCGGCTTTACCATCTCCTACTACTATCAACTCTACTAGCCTCTCTATTTCTGTCTTCTTTTCTCCTCTTTCTTTCCTTTCCGAGTCTTCCTCTGCCGCTATCTGGCTATCTGGGTTCTACTCTGTTTGGCTAAAAACAACTGTCATTCATGGCGTATCAGAGTTCTGGGTCGAGTTCCAGTTCCGGCCCATCTGGGTTCCAGTTCCTGAATTCCCCTTTTGGTGACACTACCTACACCAAGGTCTTTGTTGGGGGGCTCGCATGGGAGACTCACAGCGACACCATGCGCCGCTATTTCGAGCAGTTCGGAGAGATTCTCGAGGCCGTTGTTATTTCCGATAAGAACACAGGCCGATCCAAAGGCTATGGCTTTGTGAGTATTTATTATTGTTTTCAGTTTTTGGGTTTGTATGATTTTTCATTTTCATTCATATTTTCTAAATGAATATGAGTTTGAGTTAGCTGCGAAGCACATGCAATCTAATCACCTTTTGTATGAAGAATCAAGGATGTGTTCTGTCTGACTTTAGAAATGACTTGGTTTCTGTTTGTATTTACATGGAGGGTTTAGGTGACTTTCCGAGAACCGGAGGCTGCTGCACGAGCCTGCGCCGATCCAACTCCAGTTATCGATGGCAGGCGGGCAAATTGTAATCTGGCTTCACTCAGGCGGCCGAGGCCACCTATGCATTATGGTATGGTTTCCCAGTCTGTTGGATGGATAACTATCCTAAAGTTCCCGCTTTGTAGTTTCCCATTTCTTGCTCAGTTGAAACTTCATTGTGTTGGGTGATGATTGTATTTGCGCTATTTGTTTTAAGCAGAAAAATCCTCCACGGATTTGAAGAAAATAGAACTATGCTCATGAGTGATTCCATCATTTCACTTCTAACTGTTATTTTTGTACATATTAGCCTAGCCTTTCTCCAAGTACTGAAATTTGCTTATTGTACTTTGCATTTTTTACTTGCAGGGCGCCCGAGGCCAGCTGCTCCATACATTGGAAGCATGCAAGCTACCCGAGGGGCTTACATTGGAGGATATGGCTACCAGCAACCTGTTCCTTACAACTATCAACAAGGGCTAATGTATCCTAATTATGGGTGAGTTGTGCATTTAAAGCTTGTTTTGAATTGTATAATCTCTAAACTACGATACAGAGTCTTCTCAGGTTAATTGGGTTTAAAATATCAAATCAATCTAATAATTGTTGAGAGAATATTATGTTATTGGAATGATTCAAAGTTGGAGTACGTACTGCTCTGGGCCATTCATTGATACTTAAATATTATTGCTATGCTGACAAGTTTCTTCTTTTACCATTTTATAAGTTTGCTCAAATTTCTTGTTCGGTAAATCAAGGAAAATGTACTTTGAGTCGATGATGAGATATTTTCAGCATCTACATCAAGTAGAAGTCTTTTTGTGTTTTGTTTTGTTTTGTTTAAATGTACATTTCTCTCGTTTTAGCATGGCATTTCTCATATGTGCTTATGTGCCTTTAAAACCACTATATGTGTAGGATTATGTGGTAGGCACATAGTTAACTTTTCTTGATTTTTTAAGTGTACGTTTCTTTCATCTAAGCATGTCAGTTCCCACATGTGCTTATGTTTTTTGAGAGCCACTACTGTTCTCTTTATAAGATTTGATGATGCCACAGAGTTCTGTTTAATTGTGTACTATTAGCTGACTGGTATGTATGTTTTCATTGTTTGATATTAATTGGGTTGATCATGGAATGATTAGTGACATCTGAGTTATTTTGGGTACATCTTTTTATAGCAACTATTCTCTCTTCCATGCTTTCTTGTGTGGCATGTGGCAATTACAGCATGCAATGCCATTCATTAATAGATATTCTTAGTCATTCCCTTAGTAATCAGGGTTCGTTTGTCTAGACTAAGATGGTGTGATTGGTAAATGCAGGAAATGGAAGTGGTAGTTGCGGAGGATATGTAGATTAATATTTATTGAACAGGCAAGACTTAGGATTGGTGGCTTTAATGAGGACCAAGAATTGTGTTTCCTAGTCTTCCCATTTAATTGATTGATCTCATACATGAGTTTGCTCATTCAGTGTGCAGGAGCACTTCAGCCTGTAGTTTAGCCCGAAACCTTGGTCCTTGTATTGTAATGGATTTGTAGTGGTGTCTTATGTTGTGTAATGCAGTGTCATGTGTATAATTTTATTTTCATTTTGATGATGGACATTTGCTCATCTATGTTCTGTCTATAGAAATTTCTAAAATTTAAACTTGTAATGGTTGTTTTGTATATGCAGGTTTGCAACTTATGGACCTGAATACACTTATTCACAGGTCAGTAATGTTCTTAAGTGGCAGCACAATTGTGACTGTATTTTCTTTGGATTTATGAATGAGGATATTATGTTGTTGTATGTGCTGACTTGCTCCCAAAATTTTGTCATTTCTTTGGTAGGGTGTTTACAACCCCTATGCGGGTCAGCAATATCTTCAGATGTATGGAGTTCCAGGGACGGTTAATGCTGCTCTTTATCCTTATGGACAACTAGGTCAAACAGTACCTGGTGGTCAGGGTTATCCTACAGTTCATGGATATGCAATGCCTGCTCAGCAGATAGTCCAATTTGGTGGACCCAGTGTTAATGCAGTTACAACTGCCCCAGTGCCTCCAGTTCAAGCACCATATCCTACAGGTACATTTATGTCCTGAAATTTTTCTTTAAACCTTCAATATAATGTTAGTGGAGTTTTGTGCCACCAACATGCACCTATTTTAGAGCTCATACTTTGTGACATTAAAAAAATCTGAGGCTTGACCACTCTGGCTTGATCACACTACCTAAAATGATGGCAGATCATGATAGATTGTAGTTCTTTTTTATGCCCATTTTTATTTGTCCTATATGGCTCAGCCTGTCTACAGTAAAACATAACAGAATGATTTGTTTATTTATCAAGGAAAGATTAAATTCAATACTAGTGAGGAAAGGGGCTGCATTTTTTCTTCCTAAACACAGATACTGAAAGTCTTAGATTTCTGTCCTTTTAAGTTTATAGAATAGAGATAGAATATGGAAGAACAGAAACTTAGCAAATGTAAAGCAGTCTTTGAAGTATCCTGCTGGAGACATAAAGACAGCTAGATAGATTTTTCATCTAGATCAATACACCATGTAGTATGTAGGTAAACCTAACTGGAAAAGTGCTGTGATTTTTTATCAGGTATGGTAGCAAGTGTTGCGGCACAACCACATTTTATAGTTTCTGCTCCCCAATATATGCAGGGTAGTGGTTCTGAGCAAACAGCTGGGTGAGGGGTTGATTGAGGTTAGTCCCACATCAGGGTAGAATTTTGTTCAGTCAGTTCTATATCTATTTCTCAGAGAAAAACAAAAGAAAGAAAAAGGCATCTACCTGCCACTAGTATGGTATAATGCTCTGAGGTTTTCTTAATATTGTTGCAGGTATCCTTAGATTGCAGCAGGACTAAGAGCAGCAGAACTGCTACTTAAGTGGCGGGCTTCAGATCTAGCCTTGCAAATTTTATTTTGCATTCTAGAGGTAAATTTTTTCATCTTCTTTACATGTGTAAGGTTAAGCAAGAGCTCTGTAAATTCTGATTATACAGACTTTTTCTGGAAAGAGTAAGGCAAGTTGAATTAATAATATTCTCAGGATACCTTTGATGGCCAACTGATGATCATGCGGTTTCATGGTCTAGGTTGGAGATAAGTGTCCAAATCAATTTAATGGAATGATTACTAGATTGTTGTTGTAGTATTAATTAATTTGTAACCTATATGCAAATGTTTGTGGTTTTCCATAGCCATTAGTAGCCCTCCTGTTCTTCACCTAATAAGATTCTACACTGTTGTATAGCTAGATATGAAATTGCTCTTCTAGTGCTTACTCAATGATTGTAAATAATAAAGATAGTGATTCTTGTTGGAGCATTTTGTTTGTATACTAGATTTCATTACCCAACTCTTAAGCGTGAATTATTTTTCACCGGTTTGAATTTGTGTTGTTGATCTGGATGTGTTTTCAGTCTGATTATGATTTATGATTGCAAGCCCTGGCATCCCAAGGTTTACTTCTTTCTAGATTTATGCCTCGGTCTTATACAATTCATTTTTCCACAGGTCATACATAGTCATGCTCACCAGAGAAAACAGATGTCTGAGTCGCTCCAGATGGCAGAGAAGGATGGAGGAAACCTGCTGCTCTTCGTTGTAGGACGTTTATCCTTGGTGCATCTAAACCGTTTTACTTCCGTTACTCAAGAAAAGTGGCGGGGGGTGTCATGGATTGGAGGGTGCTGGAATCGGGTTTCTAGCAGCCATACAGGAATAAAAAAAACTCTGTAAAAAGTCATGTTAGAATCAACATATGATTCTTTTATATAGTCTTGTCCCAACATTTTGGGTGTATATTCTCTGGTGTCGTGTGTTGGTTGGTCCATATTTCTAATGTGGTTCAAGTGTTGTGCATAATAGTGCTAGGATTTCCATTGAAAACTAAAGCGCCAGTAGTTTATATAATTTCGAGTGCCTGGCTTCACAAGGAGAGAAGCATCAGGTGTATTCTATTTCTTTGGAAAGAAGAATTTTTGTGTACTGATATAGTAAAACTTGTCTCGTCTATTGATATTGATCCTTCTGATTTGAAGGATGTGGAGTTTATTAGTCAGTGGAAAGATTTCTCCCCTTTGTTCTGTTTCCATCTGAAACTATATGGCTGATGTTGATATTTACAAGTGCTACTTGAGAAAATGCAATGTTTTGACAACCAAGTCCAACAAAGACAAGCTAAGTGGACTCACTCTTCATGAGGCACATGCATTCAGCTGTTGGGACATGAAGGGGCAACTAACGTGTTGCTTTATGCATGTTTTTTTACCACTTGATCTTGTGTTGGATTAAGGGCTAACGAGTAGGATAGTGGACAAGAGGCTTGTAGCTCAATTGATTAAGAACATTTATTCTTAGCACAGCTGCATAGATGTCCACTCATGGTAGTTGAAAAGTTTATATTTATTTATTTTTTAATATAAGCTATAGTCTATACTAGGAGGGGACTCGAACTTGGGTGGAAGGGGGTGAGTTCATTGTCTTTCTTTTTCTTTTGGATATAAGCTATAGTCAATACGAGGAGGGCACTCTAACTTGGGTGGAAGGGGGTGAGTTCACTGTCCTCACCAACTGAGGGACTCGAATTTGGGAATGTTCTGAGAGTTTTTTTTTTGGACCAAATGTTCTGAAAAAGTTTGAAGTGGTGCGTTAAGTAGAAAAGAAAAGAGGATGACAAGGAACAGAAAATTCATTTATGCCAATCGGATTTGGCTTTTCGTCCTAAAGCTAAGGGTGGTTTGGGATTTAAGAGAACAACTACTATGAATCAAGCTCTCTTGGCTAAAACTGGTTGTCACCTCCATTGTAAGGACCAAGGGGTATGGGCAAATATTTTTTAGAGTAAATATTTTAAAAAAACCAGTCCATAATGGATCCTTCCTTAAAAGAAAAACAAGGGTGTTCTACTACTTGAAGGGGGATTCTGTATGGGGCAAAGCTTCTTAGGCAAGGTGTGATACGGAGAGTGGGCAAAGGTGATATGATCAAGTTCTGGAAGGATCACTGGGTCACTGAGGAGCCCTTGTTACATCAAGAGGGTGTATTGAGTTCTCATGATTTGGAATGTACGCTTTGTGGAAGATGGTTGGTGGGACATTGACAAGCTTCGTGATGCTCTTACTGATGAGCTTGTCCAGAAAGTGATTGGTACACCTGTTGGGTGTTTAATAGCAATTTGCAAGACATTCAAATTTATCGACCTGCGGCAAATGGGATGTTTACTGTTAAAACTGCTTATGAGTTGTTGGTTGCTAGGCATGGCTGGAGCGACCCCCTCTGGGAGCATCTTTGGAGGTTGAAAGTTCCCCCTAAACTAAAGTTCTCATCGTTGGTTTGCTATGGGAAAATTATTTCTAATGAGCATAGGTATAAAAGACAACTTACTTTGGATCCCTCCTGCAGCATTTGTGGTGGTAGTTCAGAGACGGTTCTTCATATCCTAAGAGAGTGCCCACAAGCTAAAGAGGTATGGAGTGCTATTTTGCTTCTTTTGCAAGTCCCTCATTTCTTCCAGCATGATTTGCAGCCTTGTGTCACGGGATGACTTTTTCGGAGTCTTCCTTCCGTGCGGCCTTAGACTTGATCGCCTCTCGAACAAGCTAAGTCAGCCTCCTTCCCACAATACAAGATCGAACCAAGCAAAGAACAATCGCAAGAGCAAGAACAATAAGAATGCTTAACCGAGTTTGGGAGAATATATGCTTGTATTGCTACTCAAATGCTTTACAAGTTGTGAGGTGAGGATACACAATGTGTCATCCCCCTTATATACTATCCCTATCCCACCTACCACCACAGTAGGTGGGTAAGATACAATGTCACCTACCAACATCTACCAACTACTGTCACCAACTGTAGTCTACCAACTACTATACAACGAATCTGGACATGTGGGCTAAGAGGTCTAGCATGATCAATCCAACGGGTTGGGCCTTGAACATGCGGGCCGTGACA